TCTTGGTTTGTAATAGTTCTAAATATACCTTTTCGATTTATATGCTAAAAACGCAGAAAATAAAAAATTCAACAATTTAGACTTTGATTTGATTATGAGGACTAATATGGATTCGTTTATGGAGTTCTTTGTAGTGATGTCGAGTGTTTTTTATTACTCATAACAAATCGTTAAGGATGTCATTTTCGTAAGTCGTGAGATGATAGTTAAACAATTTCTTTGAAAATGCAAACAAATTCTTTGAAGATCATGAAATGATAGTAAAACACATTTATTCAGACCCAAGACAGCTTTTTTATTTAAAACTATAATAGTTTTGTCTCAAAAACATAAAATAATGATTTCGGTTTGAAAAGTAGTTTCTTGTTTAACCATTGTATATTATGCAATATCTAAAAACGTACACAAAAGAGGTTAAACTATAGTGATTTAGTAATATGTATGGAAGAAAATAGTTTACTCATTTACTATAATCCACTTTGTTTTAAAAATGCATTGTATATACAAAAGTTAAAGAGATAAAAATATTATAATTTAACATCTCTTATGTGTAGAAGATAGAAGTTTCACTCATTTTATCTCTACTGTTAAGGGTTAGAATGTGATCAATAGAGATGAGGAGAGAAGGTCAAAATTGTCATAAATAAATATAAACAGAAAATGTCAACGAGATTTTTTGTTTTGGTCAGTTAGTTAATTATTAAATATTTGATAGTTAATTTTGCTAATTTCTGAAAATATTTTTAGACCAGTTTAATTATTTTGCAAGGGAAAAAGAAAGAAGATAATTTTTGAAAGAAACTCAGAGATCTAGTTTCTATTCCAGGTTGTAAAACCTTACATCCTCCAAGATTCTATTATGCTACTATCGTCTCAAATCTTTTACGTTCATTCAACAGTTGCGGTGCTCGTTTCTTCTCGTTTGAATCCAGAAAAAGAAAAGTGAACGAGATGAATCTGGCAAATGCGAATCAGAATGATCCGGATGGAGAACCTATTGAAAAATGTAAACTATTGTTTATAATAGATAACCATTTAACATTTTATGTATTAATAAAAAATTATTATCATAAAGCCACCACACGAAGAATATCAACAAAAAAAAAGCAAACCAACATCATTATTAATTAACCACACCGACCAATATCCACATATATGAAATAAAATGTTTTTTCGATTCAGTTGTTTCATAAAAGCCAATAAATATACATGAGCTAAACAGTTTAAAACTGTGTTTTGATTTCATATTAGTGTATTTTCAGTTGTTGATTTGTGATAATGTTGTTATATATAAGCACTGCCACATGTTCCACGTGGAGAGGCATTGTCATTCATTTGCATCTCATTGAGGAGATGGGTGAAGAGGCCCTCATTGTGGCACATTTGTCCACCACGTATGGCGAGTTGTTTGGTGCACGTCCCATTTTTCCGGTATGATTACTGTCACTAAAATGTCGGGAGCTTGGTTATTACATATTCTTTCTCTTCATATGGTAGGAAGGATGTAAAGAGAAAAAAGTAAAAGAATGAAAAATGGACATTGGTTTATCTCTAACTGTTTTTTTTTTTCTTTGGCAACATAGATATTATTACTGGCTAATCTCGGTCGACAATTGGAGGTTTAGGTTTACAGATTAACAATTTTTTGGTTACAAAGACGAGCAGATCCAACCTGTAGGACAGGCAGGCAAAATTATGATTTAAGGCCATCTATTTTTTGTTTTTTCGGTTGCATATTTTGTTTTATAATAATGGATTTTTGAACCATAAAATCTTGAAGCTCATATTTTTCTTTAAATTCTTGTTTTTCAATTAAAAACCTAGTTTGTGTCACATAATTATCTATGTCTAGGGCAAAAATTATAGAAAACATATCGGTTTACCAATTTTTTTCTAGAGCAAAATATAATTTATTTACAAAGGGTTATATTTTTCTTTTTTCAGAATATTATTTTTATTGGACCGGTTATGATATCTAAATAAGAATTGCGTGAACACACAAGTTCTAGGTTTGCTCCGACTCTCTCCCTTCATTGATCATGCATGCATCTATAATGTCTAAATCATAGAAATGAAGCCATCTAAAAATTTGTTTCAACCTGTTTTACCTTTTTTCTTGGTCAACACCTATTTTACTTGATGTGACCAAATTATCCTTTGTCATTTTCTTAATTAACATATTTTTTTATTGTTATTCACTTATCCTTCATTGGCATTTTCTCAATTGTTATATATAAGTATAACAATGCAATTTTTCTTTTATTAATTTCTCTTATATTTTAGTAAAAGTATTACTATTTTTTTTCCTTTTTGGTCGAAAAAATATTACTAATTAGATTATATTTTTCTTTGTCGTACTAATTAGATTAGATAACTATTGGGCTTACTGAAAACATAAAAATAAATTAATTGCGCCGTGACGAGAATACGAACCGAACCTTCTATCTAACCAACAAGGCAACAAGTGTGAACGTAACGACTTTAAATTAAAAAATCACACACTATGTCCACACGTAATCTCACATCAAGATTCAATGTCCAAGGAAAAAAAATGAGAAAAATCTCGTAAATTTACATACACTCCACTTATTAAGGTATATACCATTAAACTCCCAGATTCGTTTGATGTATATGTCATTAAATTATAACACAAACTAGGAAACTGAAATCTCTGTTCACATCCCACTGATTCTGTTTCCCTTTATAAATATATTCACCAATAACCATCTCAATCTCCATAACTTCAAATCTTCTCAAATACAAAAAAGTAGAAAAATCTATTATTTGATTTGAAAATTGAAAATGAAGATTATTCAATCATCATTGTGTTTGATCAGTCTTCTCATAATCTTGCCTTTGATCTTTGCTGCTTCTTCTTCATCTGAAGATTTCGATTTCTTCTACTTCGTCCAACAAGTAAGTTAAATCATATCACTAATGATCATCTTTATAATCATATTTTTTTGGATTTTTCTGATATTATTTTATTATGTAATATATAGTGGCCAGGATCATACTGTGACACACAGAAGAGTTGTTGTTATCCAACTACAGGCAAACCAGCTGCTGATTTTGGTATTCATGGTCTCTGGCCTAATTACAAAGATGGAACTTATCCATCTAACTGCGACGCCACTAAACCATTCGATAAATCAACGGTAACATTATACACATTTCTGTTTTTTTGGCCTCGAAAAATCGTATAACAATTTAGAACAAGAAACAAGCTAGTTCAATTTTTGTTTGTTTGGACTAAGTTACACAAAAAAGTTGTGTATTCAAAAAAAAAAAAGGGAAAAAGCTGTGTTACTTATAAAATTGTTAAAATTCCAAGAAAGTTTGTTAGGGGTTTTTTTTAGCTTCGGCTTTATCAGACTCATTTTGAATA